TCTGGTCTATAATGCAATGTTCGATCCTTGCTAAGACATCTCCATCGGTTTTTCAAACGCCCAAAGGTGTTTTCAATCACCACCCTTGTTCTTCCATGTATGGAGGTGTATTTAGCCTCAGGACTATTCTCAGCTGCATCGGTAATGGGTGTCATCAGCCATGGTCTTTGAGGATATCCAGAATCTCCTGTAATTGAAGTTTTTTATTGATTTAATTTATCTGGTTGATTACAAACATATATAATTAAAACATAATTATTAATATATTTAATAATTTTATATTAGGTGAGACGGAATGAGCAACCCACCTAGCAACCAAGTTTGTTCATTATTTTGGTACAGTCCTTGCATGTATGTATTAACGGCACTATTCTCCCAAATAAATGCATCATGTGTGGCTCCACCGAATTTTGCATTAATATTTAAAATCCGTCCGTCGCTGTCGCACACCTGTGAAAGACGTCGTTATAAATTACCTGTTTTACATTCTTATAAGAATCATGTAACTACCTACTTTTAATACTACTTCAATAGGAAAACAAAAAATCATAAATGATACCACTATGGTAAGTGGCCACCATCGTCTATACATTATGACCGTCTCATGTATTAGCAATTTTATCCACACAAAGCTAAATAGCGGATGTGTTTGCCCACCCAGAAATAGATTTTATGCAATAATAATGTGTGTTTCTTATTACTAAAATTTTTGACCTTCTTACCATTTGCACATTTAAAGAGTAATAATGTTTCCGACAGAAGAAAAGATGTTCTATGTCCTTTGGTGGTGAAAATATATGAAAATGTGAGCCATCTATGCACCCAAGAACTCCAGGAAAACCATATTGTGTATAAAACCTGAAGAGAATTCAAAACATTAAAAAAGGTGGAAATCTAAGTGATATCACTCTTATATACTTAAATATATTTATCTTACTTCTGCCTAATAAGATCCCTTTCGGCTCTAGTAGTAGGAAATTTTATAAATTCTTTCAATACATCTCGATTGTTGAGAGCATTAGTCACATCTTGGACATATTTGCTCACAGTGGTCTGTCCCAAATGCTTCGCCATACCAACAATTCGTTGATAAGAACCTGTTGCATAAAAAGAGAGAACGCACAAAACCTGTAAAAAGCAATTTAAGCAGAATAAGTACATAGGTAAGTGTAATAAAAGTTTATTAAAATAGTTTTTGTTTTTCAACCTACCATATGTTCTAAACTGACTCTTTTGCTAGATTTTAGGGAGGTTTTTTCTCGAAGTTTAGAACATAAATAATGGAAAGCTGCTTTATTGAGACGGTATCTATTTATGAACTCTCTTTCGTTTAAAGTTATGGGCTTCAACCAAGGACGTATAAAAAAAGGCGGACAGAATTTCGGCTAAGACAAAAGTGAGGCACCGTAATGGCGGCGGTTATCTATGAGTGAGTGATGCAGGGTTGCTAGGTTAGCCAATATTTTACCAATAAAACACAGTAAAAAGATCAAAATATTTTAATTGTTCAAAATTTTACCCGACTGCGGTGGATAATGTTTTTCGAGCGTGTATGCATGTATGTATGCCCAATAATAAGGCGCCAAAATGAAACCTTTAGAAAAAAAATGCTTATAACCCGTCAAGCGAGGTATCAAAGTAAAGGGTCTTAAAAGAATGCAGTGGATCCCCGGTAGTCCGACAAACATTTTGCAGGGCAGTGGTGTCGATTCTAGCGTCATTCTCTAAACTTAAAACTAAATTTAACATCAGTCTCTCCTTTTCATTCTGTATAGAGAATGACAAGGATGCACTGTTGTCAATTTTAAGTTTAGCTTTAGAGAATCATGCCAGAATCGACATCATTGTCGAACTATCGAATTTGTCGGATTATAGAGTACTGCCTAAGACCCCCTATAGTCCGAATTTTTTTACAAAAGAGTACCTTGTAATCCGACAAATTACAGATCCAATGATAAGATTACAAAACATACTTTGTTATGTATGTCAAATTGAGTAAATTAAACAACACAATAGAAAGATTATGTTTTATTATAAAAGTAACGTCAAATGCTATAGAATTTACAAAAAAATATAAAAAACAATACCCTACGCGTCGAGCACAATTGTGATGGTGCGTACAAGTTGTAACTTGTTCAATCGTGAATTAGCGAATACTTGTATGTAATAGACAATGTCGGATTATAGGGGGTGCCGCATTAGCCAGGGGCCGGATTACCGGGGCTCCACTGTATTTAGAAAATAGGTATGCAAATCGTGTACTTAAAAAAAAATCGTGTTGCACTCGGGGACTGCCGCGGTAAAGCTATTGCATAGCATTATTTGTCAACTTATGCAATAATACTATTTATTTATGCAGTATTTTTTTTCTTTGATATTAATTCAAGTTTTTTCTCTGATGTTAATAGATGGCGAGGCAGGCCTTATGATATTTTATTGGGCAAGCACAGCAAACAACAGCATTGCCCGGCGCCAAAAAACTTCCACATGCTCCACAGTTTACCACCTTTAGTCCAAAAATTATAATTATAAAGTCTAAATAAAAGGGAGACAAATAAAAATAAGAACAGGTGCTGGGGTCTAAAACAAATATATAAAAAATGGAAAAAAAATATAATAAAAAATAAAACACGAGTGCGGGATTTGAACCGACGACCGCGGTGATGCGTCGAACGTTGGTCCCGTGGCAAAAATTTAACACACTGCACCGTTTCGATCGATACTGGAAAGGCGAAAATTGTGTTCATACGCACTGTTTTTAAGTTGGCATTGATCGAAATGTTTTGTTTAAATATTATCGTTAGTAATATTATTTATCGTTGAAAATATTTTAAAACTTTTGTTTCATTGTAGGTTTTTTTAAATAATCAAAGTTAATTCAAACTATTATATATAACAAATATTGACTTTTTTTATATTCCACTTTTTTTTCAACACTGAACTTAGCGCACTTTGCTGGTGCATTTGAAAACTAATTCACGTTCCAATTAATCATCAGCATAATTCGGCATTGATAGCCACTGAGTCGCATTATGCTCTGTAATTGGAAAACTAACATGAAGTCTGTTTTTATTTTTGTATGAAAAAGTTTATATTTTCCACTTTTCATAAGCCAGAGTAAATCACCTAAATATGCCTGGCCAGGCCTCCATTCTTTTTTATATTTCTTAAATTAACAAAACATGCATTGAGTACTGTTTGTAATTGAGGAGTTCCATTGTTTCCCTCCGAAAATATTCATCAGCTCTGCACTTAATTAATACAGCCATCTCGCTAATAAACTGATTCAAACAAAAAAATAATCATCAAAATCGGTCCACGAATCTCGGAGATATGCACGAACAACAATTGAAAAAAAAAATAACAAATATGACGTATAGAACCTCTTTCTTTTTGAAGTCGGTTAAAATTTTTAATTTACCTTTTGAGGTACTGCATGCGTAACAACACGCCGGAGTCCTCTTTTAGTAGTATATAAGTCTCCAGCTTCAAAATGGATACTGCAAATGACACTATATTTATTTGGAATACATTCATCATCTCCGTTTCAATTCCTAATAACTTGGATCCAGTCATTTCTCCATTCTACATTTTCTTTAGGGAATCTGATAAAAAAGAATAACAAATAATAGATTGAAGCTAATGTCACCCCAATTTCCCATATTTTAGGTAATATGGTTACGTGAACATTGACAACACTGGACTTTAGATTAATTATTTTGTGCTTAGAATGAAAATTGATTTCGATTTCTAAAAACTAGAAAAAAGTGATTATATTGTTCATTTACCTATGAAACGTGATTCCTGGATTTTTTTTCTTTCGGTCACTACGGTTTTTACACCATTTTACCACGCAAGACATCTTGTTTTAACTTATTTTTATCTCCACTTAACGTATCGGCTGCTTTGACGTTTGCACGCGTAATGGCTGGCTGACTATGGTGTGAATGTGTGTGTGCCGGCTTGTACATATAGCGACCTGGCCGACTCTGAGCGACACAGTTTGTTGTTTACCGGGACTCTGTCCGCCTTTTTTTATACGTCCATGGGCTTCAACACCTTCCTCAGTAAAGTTCGCTGATGAATTTCTCTGTTTAGACAAAATTAAAAGATTATTTTCGGTACTAACCTACATTGTTTTGATAAAAATAGTATTATTTTGTAAGCTTTACAAAAAATAGAATAAAAAATTATTAACTTACTTACCTTTTGATTTCATCTTCTTCTTCTCTTAAATTATTTAGTAAACGCCAAAGGAGGTAATAACTACGCGAAGGACGGTTCGTTAATAACATTGACATGATTTTTAGACACTAAAACTACCTTTTATCAATAAATTATTAATTTTATAGTCCAAAGCAATCTTAACGAGAGTTCTCTCACTGTAAAATTCTCAGTGAGTGCTAATACGATAGCTAGCTGTCGAAATAAACGATACGATCCGTCAAAAGTGTGTTCGTGCTCCCGTTTTCCATACTTTACCTATCGTTAACTATACCATTACGATAACGATTACGAGACTAATAGGTTCGTGTTATTGAATTTTAGTTCCTTAAACGACCGTAGCGGTGCTTATCTGGTTTTCATACAAAACAATACCATTACGATTACCATAACCAGAACGATTGCGGTTCGTGGTCTCGTACGCGTAGCGTCGTAACGATACGACTACGCTTACGGCCCGTGTGCGAAGTGCCTTAGTAACTCAAAACACGTCGGTATCACAGGTTCAAGGACTAGGAAGTTATGCTTAAATATTCCTGCAATGATGTCACATCCATTATTTCTACCAATTACGACAAACAATATAATTTATTTACTTAATAAACCAAACGGATATTAAAGGTTAACACTTAGCATTTTGTATGTGATGTTCGAAAGTTCGTCGTCGCGTCTGTCTGTCTGTATAAATGTTCTCGTTAGTTTCAATATGTACTGACTACTGACTAGATACAGTATGTAGGTAGCTACTTAACTCAGAAAGGAATGTGGTTACTTACTTGGTAAAATACGTATACACAGCCAATGATCTGTATTATGTTATAAATTGCCATCAAGAATCGCAGATCATAAGGCGGTCGTTTACTCATGTAATCGGGCAACCATTTGTATACGGCGAACAAATACAGTGCCAGGAGAGTTAGTCCAGGCCACGGGGTTCGCATAAGCGGCCACTCTTGTATTCTTTCATCTGGAAATGTATACAATATGTTATTTGCTGTGTGTTTGTACCAGGGCCGATTTAACGCGGGGCTATGGACCCACAAGGGGGTGTAAATCGTATGTGTTCCATTATGGGGCCTCCACTCCTCCGTTGCCCCATAGCTCCCACGCCTCTAAATCCGGTCTGTTATAAGTGACAAATAAATTTGCAGCTTCGAAAGATATTTCGATTTCTTTTCGGCTTCTCGCTAATAAGTTTTGGAAAGTCTAATCTAAGTAATCTATAAAAAAGTCCCTTTTAGCATTTATAGTACACAAAAATCGCTACAATATGATTGCCACTTTAACTCTGAACGGTTAATAGATTTGAAACATAGTACTACTAATAATAATTGGTTATTGTTCCCACAACGTGGGAAATTGTAGTCTTAGCGGCATTCCCGCCGGATTGTCGATTAAAATATTCATTATACAACTGACTCATATGACAGATACAAGATTTCACCTTTTCCAGATGAGCTGCGATTGCTATGAATTCGTTTTGTAAAGTCATCAAAGTAAATGATCTGTAAAAAAGTCACTCAGGATTTTTGACATTGCATTGCATTGGTTAGGTATTTTGGAGTTACCAATAATTTAAAAACAAATTTGCAGCTTCTAAAGACCGCTCTCTGTTTGCGTGGTGCGTCATAATCCTGAAAATATTCGGTCTTCTTTCGGCTTCTGGCTTATAACTTTTAAAAATTACCAAAAATGTTCATCTTAATTCCTAACATCATACCAAAAAATGAGCAAAGATTATTACAAAACAATTTATAATACAACTTATGCCCTAGCATATGCAGCTTTGTAGGTAATGCAGTTCCAGGTTCGATTTACGGTCAGGTTTCAATTTCAATAAAATGCTCCGTTGTTTCGTGTCGTTATTGTGACACGCGAGTTTCGCTACAACTGTTTAATTTAAGGCAACATTTAACAATAGTTGTATTTTTAAGAATTCGGCTAATGGACGTATAAGTAGGTAGTAAAGTTTTTTTAAGCTTTCAGTTAAATAAGAACACGCATTAACTCTTCAGTCTATATAAAGCTTCTGAAACTTCTATTTATTTTCATTTATTCTTAGCTACTTTGGTTCAAGTGTAGTATGTTAATTAAAGAATTTTGTCATTTTCTAGTAACTTGGCGAGCTGCCGTACATACTATAACTTATAAGAAATTATCTACTCGATTAAGTACCTAACCACTAAAATTAAAACTCAGGTTATCATAAAAATATTTACCTGCAATGTCCTCGTTGAGATAATAATATAATTTGCCAGCACCCTTCAAAATCACAGCCATGATTGGAAATTTTAATGCACCACTGAAATGCGGACCACGGCCATTACACTGCACATTCTAAGTTCAATGTGCATCAATAATGAACGTTTATGCAAAACATTGTGTACACAACGTATGTATTATTATAATAAAGCATTGAAATTCGACATTGTAAAAATGTAAATTGGCGTATTCTTAGTAAATTTAACTGAATTCATGCGCCATGCAAATTTAACCGGCGCGGCTACAAAGTGACCTGTTGTCTTCATTTTCTGTTATCACGATGAATCCCGAGACATTAAAAAAAATAGACGCTCTTTGCGGCAGTAACTTTATTTTAAACTAGCTTTCCGCCAGCGGCTTCGCTCGCCTAGTGTGGCTTTAATCCAATCTCAAAGTTTTTTTAATCATCTCATAAGTGGTCGAAAAATATTCTAAATCATAACTTCGGCCTCTAGCTAAATAAGCTCATCCATGAATTTTCTTAGTTCTACTATCTTCAAAATTTCACACAGACATCCATGCTCTTAAACTTTTTTTGTTAGCCGCAAGTCCGTTTACACATTTTCAGATTTCTATCTTTAAAGCTAAAGAAGTTTCATGGTTTCAAAATATAGTTACATAATTAAAAACCTGAAAACTAAGGGGAGACTAAACACCTTCCCTACACATATTAACTTTTTTCTAGACTATCCCATTATGTGAAGTATTGTTGTTATACTCGTATATACTTTCCGTTCCGAATCAAATGTTTTTTATATTAACGTCATCATCGATCAGTATCGTTATTTTTGCATGATTTATTAGGATTTGATGTATGTACTCGTAAGTACTTAAAGAAACACGTATAAAATTAAAACCAGTTTTTGTGTAATATTATGTTAAAAATATATTTAATAAAATTTCTAATAAAATACTGTTGAGCCGAAACCTACAGCACAGTATGAATATTTCTTCTATTTCTTGAAAGGGAATTCTGGGTGCTTGTCTATGCCGATGAAGAAGGAGAAGTCACAGATGCGGCCGTCTTCACCGCGGTCCATCGCAGACAGTTCAGCCATTTCTTCTTCGGTTAGCGCGAAGTCCCAAAGAGAGATGTTCTGAAACAGATATATGCAGGTCAAATATTTATTAATTTTTATTGCAGAATGCGCTCTTTGGTATCGCAGCCAGTTCCCGCTGTAGAGCGTGACGCAGCAGCACCAGAGAAACGATTAATTGAACATACAATCTCGAACTCGATACTAATCCTCTAGGTTTTACCTGTTGGATTCTCTGTGGGTTGGTGTTCTTCGGTATTGCGGCGATTCCTCGCTGCAGGGCGTGCCATATACAATGTTGATACTAAACCGCTAGGCGTCCATACTTGCTTGATTTTCTGTGGATTTGTGCCGTTTGGTATGGAAGCCAGTCTCTGCTGCAGAGCGTGACATAGCACCTGCGCCCTACAATTTCAATATTTAACAGCTAGTTGTCCGTACCTATTTGATTCTCTGTGGGTTAGTGTTTTTAGGTATGGCGGTGGTTCCCCGCTGCAGGGCGTGACACAGCATCACCTACGACCCTGCAACTTACAATATCGGTACTAATCCCCTAAATGTTACCTGTTTGATCCTTTCTGGATTGGTGCTCTTCGGTATGGCGGTGATTCCTAGCTGCAGGGCTAGACACAGCAGCCCCTACGAGCCTGCAACTTACAATATCGGTACTAATCCCCTAAACGTTACCTGTTTGATTCTTTGTGGATTGGTGCTCTTCGGTATGGCGGCGATTCCCCGCTGCAGGGCGTGACACAGCAGCACCTACGAGCCTGCAACTTACAATATCGGTAGTAATCCCCTAAATGTTACCTGTTTGATTCTTTGTAGATTGGTGCTCTTCGGTGTGGCGGCGATTCTCCGCTGCAGGGCGTGACACACCAGCACCTACGAGCCTGCAAATTGCAATATCGGTACTAATCCCCTGAATGTTACCTGTTTGATTTTTTCTGGATTGGTGCTCTTCGGTATGGCGGCGATTCCCCGCTGCAGGGCGTGACACAGCAGCACCTACGAGCCTGCAACTTACAATATCGGTAGTAATTCCCCTAAATGTTACCTGTTTGATTCTTTGTAGATTGGTGCTCTTCGGTATGGCGGCGATTCTCCGCTGCAGGGCGTGACACACCAGCACCTACGAGCCTGCAAATTACAATATCGGTACTAATCCCCTAAATGTTACCTGTTTGATCCTTTGGGGATTGGTGCTCTTCGGTATGGCGGCGATTCCCCGCTGCAGGGCGTGACACAGCAGCACCTACGAGCCTGCAACTTACAATATCGGTACTAATCCCCTGAATGTTACCTGTTTGATTTTTTCTGGATTGGTGCTCTTCGGTATGGCGGCGATTCCCCGCTGCAGGGCGTGACACAGCAGCACCTACGAGCCTGCAACTTACAATATCGGTAGTAATCCCCTAAATGTTACCTGTTTGATTCTTTGTAGATTGGTGCTCTTCGGTATGGCGGCGATTCTCCGCTGCAGGGCGTGACACACCAGCACCTACGAGCCTGCAAATTACAATATCGGTACTAATCCCCAAACTGTTACCTGTTTGATTCTTTCTGGATTGGTGCTCTTTGGTATGGCGGCGATTCCTAGCTGCAGGGCTAGACACAGCAGCCCCTACGAGCCTGCAACTTACAATATCGGTACTAATCCCCTGAATGTTACCTGTTTGATTCTTTGTGGATTGGTGCTCTTCGGTATGGCGGCGATTCCCTGCTGCAGGGCGTGACACAGCAGCACCTATGAGCCTGCAACTTACAATATCGGTACTAATCTCCTAAATGTTACCTGTTCGATTCTTTGTGGATTGGTGCTCTTCGGTATGGCGGCGATTCCCCGCTGTAGGGCGTGGTGCAGCAGCATCTACGAGCCTCTAACTTACAATATCGGTACTAATCCCCTAAATGTTACCTGTTTGATTTTTTCTGGATTGGTGCTCTTCGGTATGGCGGCGATTCCCTGCTGCAGGGCGTGACACAGCAGCACCTATGAGCCTGCAACTTACAATATCGGTACTAATCCCCTAAATATTACCTGTTTGATTCTTTGCGGATTGGTGCTCTTCGGTATGGCAGCGATTCCCCGCTGCAGGGCGTGGCGCAGCAGCACCTGCGCGGGAGTGCGCGCGTGTCGTTCGGCGATACGCAGCACTGCCGGCAACTGCAGCAGATCCGGGTACTCCCGCCTGGAATATAGCGATCAAATACCACAATATCGACACCATTATCAAAACCAAAGTACTGAGCAAAAAGTACCTGCATGAAGTTTATAACTCTTTAGACAAGCACTTTAAGAGATCCCGGAGGGCATAGCGGATTTTGCGTTCAAATTTGAGCGCCCGTTTGGGGAAGTTACCTCTACCCTACAGAAGACCGCATTAAAATAACACTACCTTTTTGGTGGTGTTGTGTTTTGTCGGTGAGTAAGGTTCCACGGCTCCACGAGCTACGGCGATTGGGCCAGGGAAGGCAACGGCGCAAGTGATATTATTGGTATCGCAAGCGTCTATAGGTTATGGTGGCAGCCAACCATCAAGCGAGCCATATACTTGACTTGTTTGCCACCCTTTTACCAAAAAAAAAGTCAACATCACCTTCAAGATATTTGCATCTAATATACCTATAAATGTTATTACACCATAATCCATAATCATTTCTTTTTCAGGGGGCTAATTGTCTAATTTCAAATCCCACCCTTCAAAATAAAAACAATGTCATATTGACACTGTTTTTTATAACGTAACATCTCTCCCAACTATCAAATAAAAGGGATGGGGAAAGAGACAAAGTTACATAATTTGGTCCCTGATTTTCATAATCCAGTTAAAGTTTACCCAGTTTTAGCGGATAATGCATCTGCCAGGCCTTTGGAGCCAAGCGGGGAGTACGCAACTACCGGGATTCCGAGCTTAGTCGCGGTGGCCACTAGTTCCTTTTGCTGGCAGAGAAGATGAACTTCCACCTGTCGTAGGAAAGGCAAGGAATTAATTGATGTAGGTCATATGCAGGTATACAAAACAATGGATCAGCTGATTAATAGATTTACATTTTTCAAGTTTCTACTTACATCGCTCAAACTAAATGCTAAATGAATTCGAAGATATCGATCATTGTTTTGTACACTCTGTACAATCAACAATACTAGTTAACTAAAATGTACGATCAACAAAACTGTTAACAAAATAGAATTTGTGAATCTAACCTGTAGACAAGCTGGTTTAGCTACGCTCGTTATACGTTTGAGCTGCTCCTCATTCAAGTTTGATACTCCTACGTGGCGAACTTTACCAGATTCCTTAAGTTTTAATACTGCCTGAAAATCAATGAAATTAAATTCACTTTAATATTAAATAAAAATTAATGTATGTTATAAGTACCACTCTTCTTAAATGAATACAGTAAAGGAAACATAATATTTTATTTGTTTGACCTATGATTCCTTAGCTAGTTTTTATATATTAAATATCTAATGTGCGCCCGCTGCTTCGTCTGCCTGAAAACAGTTGGTCCTTTACAAACTTCCACCACCTTAAGTGTTGATTTCTGGGATAACAACTATTCCACTGACAGACACACTTTCGCATTATTAGCATGGGAGTATGGATAAGGATATATAGGCCGATAGGCCGTAATATTTTTTGACTTCGTTTAAGATTAAAAAAATATAGGGGAACACTTTTTGTAAGAAATCTCAACATTTTGCATTACCTAATGAAGGCAATGGTAAGTTCTTCTTTTCACTAGAACTTCTCCAGGTCTACAAATTTTATTTTGTGATTTATGGACTTCAGTCATCAACGGTTCGGTTAAAGACTCGTCTTTTATAATGAGAGGTTTTTCAATTCTCGTGTTGTGCAAATTGGATATAGTCTCTGCAGTGGACGTATTGCTGAAATTTTTAGGCATGTGAAGGACGAGCAAATTTTTCTTATTACTTTTCACGAGTTCTCCTGATCTCTTCTTTTTTATTTTAAGCTTACTAGTTAAGTTATTGAAAACTATTTGCATTTTTTTCTGTCCGTTTTCGTATTTTCGGAACCGCCGTCTCCATTTTATGCTGAAAATACTTTGAGAAGAAAATTGGGAATCAGACTTTGTCAATATTTGAGATTTTATTTCTAGACTGTGGTTTGATTGTAGGCTGGACTGGCAAGCAGAATCACATACATTTTTGGATGTCGAACAATTTTGTTGTACGTTCCAGGAAGTAATTTTCTTTTCTTGTTTATGTGTACCATAACCAGAACTTTTTGTTAGAAGTTTGCCCGCTCTATTGCGTGTATAATGAAAATTAATCTTTTCTCCCTTTCCTTCATTGTTTCCTAAGCAACAAAAAAACATATTTGATAAAAGTACATATACTTTTTTATTACGTTTAGTTTCTTTCGTAGGATTTGTAACCGGGGTCTTGTACCGTTACGGTACCTAATGACAGAATGAAATACACCCAAACGCATTATTTTCTCTCGTAACGAATATTAAATATTTCATACGCATACGAGTTCTTTTATTTTGCATTTATACCTGCAGAATGCGCAGAGGCCAGTTGTGGAATCAATGCCGTAAGTGATTGTTGCAAAACATTGTTCTTGTGAATATTGTCAAGTTTAATGGTGCAAAAATAAACTCCTGTTTCATTTTCTCTCTGGTGAATTATAGTATTAGCTCTACGTTTCTTTTGACGTATGTACTCAACGTGCTCTTCTTTACGTGTGATTTTAGGAACTGGTCTGGGATTTTTACTTTTGTGCGGCGGTTTATCCACAAAGGTTTTATCGTAGTCCTCCGGTGTGAAACTACTACAGCACCCACAGCAACGGCAGAGTAATAGGTCCACACATTTCTGTCTGAACTTTTTTGGTGGATGGGACGGGCGGCGTTCAACATGGCCAGTTGCTCGGGACGAGGACACAGAGCGGGGCGTAGCAGGCTGTGATGTGTGAGCCATGATGTAACTGCATCCTAACCAGAGATCCGTGACGGTGTAACGTTCATCACTTGCCACCACCTAACTGCATTTTTATATTTTGTCCCATTTTATAGATTCCCCATATTTTTTCTTTGAAAATATTTTCAACATAAACCCAAACAAAATATTAGGTTTGTTCCATTTAAAATATTAGCGAGGTGACACTTTATTTGTTCTATGACGTGACATGGACGTGACAGGTGTTAATTTTAACTTCTTTTTTAAATACGAACTCGTTTAAAATCTAAAGATTTTATTATCTCTTCTTTTGACTTTCATTGGATAGTATAAAGCATTCCTTTTAATATTGCTCGTACCTTTTAATTGTTCAAGTTTTGGAAAAGTACTTCTTTTAAAGCAACTGCGTTTTTGTATGTATTACGAAGCATAATCTTAATCAGCTTGACATATATTTTAGGTGTCTTTTTGGCTTTCAGATGCCTGTGTAATTGGATTATACTTCTAATAGACGGATCTAATTCTAAAGGAGACAGAATAGCGTTTGCGTCTCTTTTTAGATCTATAGATTCATAAGATTCTGTAGTATTTTGGTAGGAATAATGTGCATCAACTGCATCGTCTCCTCCAGTACAACACGGACATATAGACCAGGGCGAAAATAGTTTAGACCACAAGTTCGCTTTCTTATTTGCAGATGCTTCGAGCAATGTCATGGAGGTCCCTATAGTCTGGGCTGTAAGGGACGTTATTATGTCCCTGGCATTGAGGACGCTTTCTTGTTGCATTGGAAATGAAAAACAGAAATCTGTTGGTAGGAGGGACTGATCTTTTACGATAGCCTGTTTGCTATCTATTTGTCTCTTAGCTGTCGGCGATCTGTAAACCTTCGACCAAAACAAATAGTCACCATTTATTTTGTGATTGGTTGACTTTTTACGTTGTTTAGGAGACACTGACACTTTTTTCACCTTTTGGTTGATTGAAAATTTAGGATAGCTGCAATCCCTATACACAGAATTACTTCTATATGAAACATTGGTTGTTAAATCTTTCATATATTTATGTTGTGATTTTCCTTCTTTGTACGTTGAAAAATCGGAATAGTGTTCAAAGCATGGAACTCCCATTTCCTGTTCTTGTTTGGTTTAGTTTTTTAGTAGTTTCACTATTAATTTTCATGCATTGGTTAGATGGATCTATCGAAAAACTATGTAACGTCTATCGTAGTTTTGAATGAAACTGTCAAGAAAGGAGAGATTATAGTCAAAGTATAGTAGTTAAACTGGTTTATCCTCTTTTAAAAATCTCAAACCTTAAAACAAATACCAAGCTTCGCTCCGCAGGTGTGGACGAAGCTGAAACGAAACGGTTACTTTTTCTATGATTCTGAGTATATCATGTGCGTAATTGATTGCGTGATTTTACCATTTTACTTTGGAACATGCATAGAGAAATCCTACTTAGGCCCATTTTTTATTGTACCTATTTCAAAAGTACTCTGTACCATAGAGCGACGCAATCAACGCGGCCAGCCGCGTCGGCCGTGTTGCTCTAAATAATAAAATACTACAGAAATAAATTATAAGTATGTATTATTAAAACAGATATCATAATATATTTTATGATAATAGTATAATGCACTATAAACGCTAGTAAACGCAGAGATCAATAATAATTACGGGTTAAGTAAAATTATGTTACGTATAATAGGAAATGTAGATTTTTGTATTTATTTATGCTTTGCTCTCTGTAAAATTTTGCCTATGTGTAATAATGTAGATTTCTACTGGTGAAATATTTTTTGTAATTTAGGGCCAGCCGTGCTGCCTTGTAAGAACAAATTCACTCTTCATCGCGGAAGCCACATTGTAATCTAAAATTAGGATAAGAATTTCAAATATTCAAATCACACCGGTGAATCCTGGGGTGAACAGCCAGTTTGTTCTTCCAGAATAGCCCCAATAGTTTTTGAGTTTATTCATAACATACAAATCTTTGCTCTTTAAAATTATTAGTATAGAATAGATAAACTGTTACCTTCCAAACGGCGATCAGGTCCGTGGTGTGGTCCACGCGCATGGAGCCGTCTGGGTTTTTGGGGTGGAAGTCCCCGGGCACGTGCTCGAACGCAAACGGGGTGTGGATGAGGTACATGTCGATGTATTCCAGACCTAGATCCCGCAAGGATGCGTCGAAGCACTCTTGCACCAAGTCGGGACGATTACCTGAAACCATTGAAATAATTTAACTTTTTTAATGAAATGTTTTTGGAGGCTCCGGTTGGGAATTTTCCTTCAGTCGGCCGATACTTTGCCGTTAATTAAACTTGCAAGTTTTGGTACTGTTATATTTTTGTCGGTAAGGTTCCAGGACTCCACGGGGTAGGGGATGGGGACGACGTGAGTAATAGCTTAGCTTTTGTACCGCATAAGCTATAGTGATTGTTTGCCATCAGACGGACCATTATGCTTGTTTGTCACCCTTTTAATATAAAAAACGGATTGTTTATCAATTTCATTTGTCGACCAATGCAGAATCATTTTAATATGCACACCATAGAGAAAGTTATCAGTATTATTTTAATGAAATGCGCACTTGTCTAATAATATATTTTCATACTGTTCAAATGCGGTCTGTGTTCAAAATCACTAAACTATCAGTCAATGAAAGACAGATAATTGACAATTTTTAAATTGTTTGCTGATTAATTGTTCTGATAAATATATTGTAAGTAGTTGAACGAAGAATTTTTTTATCAGTAAATCGACGAAATATAGTCAGCATAGGTACTTACCATCTAGCGGAAAGGGCCGTTCGTCTAAATATTTGCAAAGCTATTGACATAAAAAAATGATAGAATGTTTTGCTGATCACTTTATTTATCTACTAACTTTTTACTGTAAATTATATTACCTATGTATAAGAGTGGAATGCCGAATAAATGATTTTTGATTTGATTTCTACTTTACCTCCAGGTGGAAGTTTTGTAACAATGAATAGTTCTTTCCTCCGGCTGGGGTTGGCTCCTATCCACTTCTTCAAGGCCCTTCCCAGCGCCTTCTCGTTCTCGTACACAGGGGCCGCGTCGATGTGTCGGTACCCGGCCTCCAACGCAGATTCCACGGCCTTCTCGAGTTCTTCATCAGTAGCCTACAAATTACTCAGGTTGGTTTTAAAGCATCTTTATTGTGAAGTAGCAGATTCAACAGACGTTGATCCTGCACGATAGAAATATAATAAAAAACATAAAACTTGCATGCAGCGCCAACTATTGGGTAGAGTTCTTTTGGAAGTTGTGTTTATATCTAAGAAACAAAGCTCCTAAAGGGCTATGTTTGATTTATTATTGAAACTTGCCATAAGACGAAGAACATTTTTATGTCGGCACCAATGCCGGCACTTTACACATTTTTATATTCTTCGCAAAAGCGAAAGACAGCAACCCCTCCTGCTCACACTTCTCAATCCCTTCTTATTTACTACAGCTCAGAATAATGACTAGAACATTTGTGAGTTGCGAATATCTTAAAAACTTTGGTTTTACCGAAAACTTTAATAAAATTCAATACTTACTTAGTCTAAGTTTGAAATCGTTTTCTGTAAAATCAAAGTTTTTGTGATATCACTATCGTCACAAACGGGCGATATACACTCTAGAGATGAGCTATTATAGAGGGCATGATTTAAGTATAGAGAAATAGATTTTTAGGCTAGATTCTCTTTGACAAGTTTGACTTCGGTAGACAGCATGCGTGATGTAACTAACAAATAGATACGTTTATGTAGTCAAATCCATTCAATTGTTGATAAAAGCAGTGTAAAAGTTAAATTATATCAGTGAACCAACACAGAACAATGGATTATAATGAACAATAAAATTATTCAATACATAAAAGTGAAATCATTATTTATTTTGCCACAATGTAAACTATGTCTTGTAAGTCTTTACAACCGGATAAGGGTAGCAGGCAAGCTCTGCTGTTGACGACATGGTCTCTGGATAGTTACACTTGTCACGCGTCCACCTCCAGAGGTCTCCCTTCTCACTCCAGAGGCGATAATGACGGTGCTGACGAAGATTCTTTCTGCACCGGCGAATGCTCCTGCGGCTCAGATAACGACTACCCTTCACTATCTTGCGAGAAACCTTGCGTGATAATCGACTCTAGGACGAAACTACACAACAAATCGAAATGGAAGAAAATAAAAAACTTCTTCCAAGACACCATCAAACGCAAGTTGGAAGTTAAGAAGACCAAAAATATGAAGAAACAGCTACAACAATGAGAAAAAGCAACGGTACTTTTTGTGTTATTTATGAAAATTACGTATATTCTTGATGCTTTCGGCTAATGAATGTGTGAAATTTACATTCAATTATTTTGCTTTTTCACACGGGTTCTTTTGTTTAGTTTTAACTGAGCAGTTTTATTACAAAAAAGGACGGGTTGCACTCCGGGAGTGCCGGCAGATTTCTTTAATTATCAGTATAAAAGTACTATCATTTATGTGGTGGAATACAATATTTATTTAATTTATATTACATTAAAAAGTTTATCTCTCAGAATGTCTCATTTACGCGTACCTAGCGACATCTATTGTAAAAAAAATGCATTTTCTTCGCAATAAAGCTGCCACCTGGACGTCCTAGATACGGACTTATTATTACAATACGATAAATAAAATATAGCTATGTTTCGTCCAATATATTGAAAGTCAACAACCTTTCCAATTTTATTGCTTTCGTCTTACGATCAGGACACGTGGAGTGTGATGCGATTAGCCCACGTGTCATGGCGCGAGTTTAACATTTTTTTCCCATACAAAAAAAGTGTACAACGACGCTAAAGAAGTTTTCACTTAAAAAAAGTTTCGGATAATGTGCACTTGTTTATACGGTTCAGGAGCTGACGAAAATTCGGGGAAAATTGTTATTACTATAGGCTCATACGGTTTCCATGTCAAAACGGTTTTTGTATTCAGCTTAAGGATAATGATCCATAAAGCCCGTCACAGACGTAGCTATAATATATATTAATATATCGAAATATATATTATATTATAGCTAACTACCACAGACGGGAGCTATACTATAATATATATTTTGCCCTCACTCGGTCTGCGGTGGTTTTTGCAAGCGCACGGTTTTAAAGCTTATTTTCTAGCACAGGGTGTTTTAATTTTGAAATAACGTTATAATCGATCTTACCGAAATGAATTCGACAAGAGCACTACTTTTAGATTTAATTGAAAGTTCCTCAGAGGATGATTCCGATGCTGAATTTGATATGCATGTTGCCTTGTCAGGAACGAAAAATAGAAGTTGAACATTCCGTATTATACTAATATGCCAAAATATATCCCGTCACAGACGTAGCTATATATATTTATATATCGAGATATTATATTATACAAACTACCACAGACGGGAACGTAATATCTATACTTCTATACTAATATTAAAAAGCTGCAGAGTTTGTTTGTTTGTTTGAACGCGCTAATCTCTGGAACTACTGGTCCGATTTGAATGATTCTTTCAGTGTTGGTATTCCATTTATCGAGGAAGGCTATAGGCTATATTTTTTTCTTTCAAAATTAGGGATCCGTAATAAAATAGCTATTTTGTAACACAAGGTGTAAAATCGAAAACCTATTTTTGCGTGCGCTGCAAAAACAATAGAACAAAATGATGTACTACGGGTTTGTAGATCCCATTAAGACCTACAAAAAAGTCTGCGAGAACATATATCTATCTCTCGATTCTACTCGATTTTGTGTTCAAAATAATTATTACATCGTCTGAAGAAAAAAAACTACGTTAAATATGTATCGTAATATTAATATTTATCGAAATTAAGCATTATGTTATCAAGAGTATTTATGTAGAAGTAAAATACTTTTTGTTTCATCTCAATCGGATATTTCGTTTAAAAGTTATCACGTGTGTAAGATGTTAAGAGTTGGTACCTATTAATGAGTTATGGGCCATAGAGTTTTTTATTAACATAAAATCCTGTAATAATCTTTTTCGAAATATATTTGTTGATGATTGTAAATAAATACATTTCTAAAATAACTCTGCTAAGGAAATCCACGCGCCCTTCTTGCATATTTTATCTCAGTATTTCCACGGGAGAAAACGAATGAGAAAAACGCGGGTGAAACCGCGGGGCACGGCTATAATATATATTTTGGCAGGCGTTCGGTGAAAAATGAAACATACCGTATCATAAAAATATATCAAAATATATATTAATATATCAAAATATATATTAATATACCAAAATATACACTAATATGCCAAAATATATCTGTCGACATATTTTGGTGACGTCATAGAAATATATATTATAGCTGCGTGTGCGGTCACTCGAAAATTTATATTGAAAATATGTTGTAATATGTCTTGCTATGATTCATATTAATATATATATTATAGCTACGTCTGTGACGGGCTTAACACCAAAGTCGATTCTGTACGCATTCGAAACAGCAAACGAGTATTGACGTGTTGGATTGACGCTCACCGTCCCATGATAACAATCTAACAGAAAATATTTGGGCGTGGATTTAGCTTAAACTAAAGGCAGAAAATGCGTTGACCGTCGCCGACCTTAATCATAAATTGAAGTCCTTGCGGAGGTCTTTGCAGCTTAGCTGTAAAACTAGCGAAAAGTATGCCGCAAAGATGTCAAGTGAGTATAGATAATAATGGAAATTGGACGCCTAATTTATACCAAAGCATCAAACATTAATAAAATTCGTAATTAATTACAATTTATCGTTTTAAATTTCTAAAGTTTTCATTGAAATATGCCGGTCACACAGCACGCTCTTTTCATACACATCTTCTGTGAATAGGTAATAAAATAAATCACATTAACCTTACATTTTTATTTAATGTCTTCTCTCATTATATTCCTAAATTAAAAAGCAGTATTCAAATACCATTATCAAATTAAAAGAAACGGACTTGTGCTGTCCACATGCAATAGAAGTGAAACCTACAAATATGTGAACACGTAAAAGACTTACGTGTTCATATGAAGTTTTAAAGATAACACCTGTGTTAAAATTCAACTGTCTAGTTCAAAATTAAATATTTTATACATTTTTTATTTCGAAAAATAAAAATAGCTTCGTAAAAGAAAAAAGACAATTAAAACAATAAAAAAAATAACTGAGCTCAGGATCGAACCACCGAATATTTGGTGACCATTACCGCTATCTGTCTCTTATAGTAAATGATAAAATTACGGATACCTATCTTGTATCAAATACTCTACTTCCGTTTCATCGAATCTCAAGTCTCAACAATACATACTTAAGAAGTTTTCACTTCAAAAATTATAAAATATAAATATTTGCACAAAGCGTTTGAATTAAAATAAATAAATCATCACTAAAGATTACGAGTTCTAGGATATTGATGACAATATTAGGACAAATCTGATGGTTATCGGAACAAATGGCATGTTTTTCTATTTAATCATTTAGTACTTAGTACGTTAAGTTTAGTTTCCCATACACACTTCCACCCCCATCTTCACCCATTGAAAGGATGATTTCTGCAATAAAAACTATCTTTCCTATGTCCTTTCTCGAGACAAACTATGTATCTCTATAGCTTACCAAATTTCGTTTGTTTCAGCGGTTTAGGCTTGAAGACGTAACAGACAGACATACAGACGCACTTTCGCATTTACGGTGTAATCAAAATTTTCTTTAATCATTTGCGATGTTAATATTAATTAGTTAATAATGGGGCATTTAGCAAAACAATTTGTGTTACATTCTAATATTGACCAAGTAATTTCTTTGATTAATTAAACAATATGATATATTATGTATTTGGCCAATCATTCACACAAATTAAGAAAACTTGATTTCAAAGGCAATTGTGTCCCAACGCGATTTTAAACAAGTACCTATCTACCTAGGTAGGTAGTAGGTAGAGCATAGTTAAACTTTTTTAAATAATAACATTTAGCAATAACATATAATCTTTACAGATCCCAATCGAAATTATCCTATTTTAAGTCAAATGTTAGGTAATAATTTGTTGTCGGTGTCCAATCCAAACAGTTTATTTGGGATATTTTCCCGCAGTAAAACGTTGCCTATGTGTTAATCTAGGGTGTCAGCTAACTCCATACCAAATTTTATTAAAATCACTCCAGCTGTTTAGACGTGAAGAAGTAACAAACATACACTCTCACATACTCACAAACTTTTGCCTTTTTAATATTAGTGTGATACATGCACGGCACTGACTCCAAATGTAAAATATAACCAAACACTGGTGTCGATTCTGGCACGATTCTAAATCTAAACTTAAATTTGGCAACAGTGTATCCTTGTCATTCTCTTTACAGAATGAAAAGAAGAGACTGATTTTAGAGAATCACGCCAGAATCGACACCACAAGCCCCCTTATTAATAAACGAAGACTTAACTTGGATTAGTTACTCTATGTTTTGTCTCTGTTCATTGAATGACGAATGACACTTGAGTGATATGAACAAAACACGGCATAACTAGCCTAAGCTTGTTCCTCGTTTATTAATAAGGGGGTAGGTGTTGGTACTGTTTGTAATTTAGTACTTCCATTGTTTATCTTCCAAGGTAGGTACTCATCAGATCTTTACCAAATTAATAAAGGACTATCTCGCTTTAAAACTGAACTATAAAATGATAATCATGTACTTCATAAACCTACGAATATTTGTGAGAACAACAATAAAAAAGAAACAAAAAACTCACGAATTGAGCACTTCTTACTTCCTATTTGAAGTCGGCTAAAAACCATGTTTACCTGCCATGTCCCGAAGCCGATCCTTGGCATGCGATCACCGCCCTCTAACACGAAATATTCTTCATTTGCCATGATGAGTTTTTCAATATTAGTAGTATTTTTTTGTCGGATAAGTTGTACACAACGTTATAATGGCCGACGTTAGATGCCCACGGGTAACCGCGCTGCACTGTGGCATATAAAAAAGGCCCGAGATAACTGTCACTAACAACCTTGTACCGGTTTTCCGCTAACCTGATACAAACACAACAAATGTTGCCTGTTATGCTGGCACTTGACGTGGCTATTTATATTTGCTACTTGTTAATTTGCCAGCAGTCTCTCCTTTTCATTCTTATGCAGCATGATAAAGATATACATATTATCCTGTAAATTTTATAAATAGCAAATACTAACTACAAACTATGTGAATAGTAACAGCATTACAACTTCGTATTTGCTGCGAGAAATGTTTGATGATCATTATACTTATCATTTAATTTTCATATTGAACGAAGTATGTTAATTCTTCGTTTAATTGACTGTTTAAACGAATTTATTTAAATTCCTTTTCTTTATGGTACAATTTTAAAGTAGAAACTTCAATCGTGACCGTTATACATAGTGTAATCCTATTTCCGGATATACTCATTAAGTTTGATTAAAATAAAGCATTGGGTTTGATAATAAATAAGAATGAATTAAAAATACCCAAGGGAGTAAAAATAATTAAAAACTTGAAAAAAAAAAATAGATTCAAATTGCAAATGCCGAAGCTTAATTTGAACCCATTTCCTTGAAACATTGTTAGAATACTCGCAAGGTCAAAAGTTTCAGTTCAAAAATAGCATTGAATTGAAATATCAAGAAACAACAACGAAATTCGGATTCAAAGATAATAGGTCAAAGAAACACTTCTTTCTCATACAAAAAAGGAAAGAAAATGAACAACCTCAGTAGTCCTGCGATCTCTCTGTTTTCTTATAGATAATAATATAGCAAACAAAAAACAAAACTTTTAAAAAGCACTTTTAATAAACATTCTTTTCTCGAAATATGTATATTCTCTAAAACATAAAACCGACTTTAAAATCGAAAATGGATCTAGAGTAAAAAAATATAATAAGGTCGCGTAGCATAATTGGCCAATGCATCCGCCTGGATGGCGGAAGGTGCGGGTTCAAGTCCCGCCTGCTGTCTGGACCATGTAGATTAAGTATCTAGTAAAATTTTCTTTAGATTTAAACTACCAGTTAAATGCTGAAAAATTAAAATATAATAAACAATAACATTCGGTTCAGGATTGATGGGCGACTTCCAAATCATGAACCGGATATTATGTTTTTACTTTATAGTTCCATTTTCGATTTTGAAGTCGGTTTTATTTATTGTTTAGATTTTTTTTCTCTATTTTGGTGTAGAGCTCCTACACATAAAACGGCTAAACTAACCCGTAAACTAAGTCTCATAAAAACAACAAGTTAACAAAATGCTTATAAAATAAAACCTATTGGGCCATACTGAATTAAAATTTTATGTGACCAAATTATATTCCGCATCGGTTATAAAAAAGCATCACGTAAATCAGATCATAAATGTCGGCGTAATCGGTGTACATACATTTTTTTTCCAACGCACACCATTTAGCCTAGCCACAAAGTAAGCACTGTAAGGCTTGTGTTATGGGATACTAGGGTAATGGATAGAATACATATACTGGACATATAAAGAATATTTATATAGAAATACATATTAAACATCCATGACTGGAGTACAAGTGTTCATATTCATCACACAATCATCTGCCCCACCGGGATTCGAACCCGGGACCTCTCGAGTCGGCGACACAATGAAACCCGGCGAACAAACCACTCGGCCACGGAAGTCGTCTGGAGGCTATTAAAAAAATATGGGCCGAATTGCAAACCTTCCCTTTTTGAAGCCGGTTAAAAATGAACAAAATTAGTAGTAAGCACGTTATTACCAAGGAGCAAGTTTTAGCGTAGCCAAAAGTAATACGTTTGTAGTTTACTTAACTTAACTTTAATTGGTGATTTTTTATGCCTAAACAGTAGGACGGGCCATTCCCAAACGTTCCTAAACTTACTAGTTAAACCAGTTTTTTTATATTTTTTATTTTATAGTCATAATTTTTATTTATATACATTTGTAACGGAAAGTGACTTCATGAGTTACCTCATATTGAAGTCATTTTTCAATTTGACGGCTCTGTATATATTATATACAGGGAGAAAAAAACAGCCCTTGCTGAGTATCTTGCCAGTTCTTCTCAGTACAAGGCCTCACGACATGGATTTGCGAACCGATGGCGTAGCATTTCGACATTCACAAGTGCTTGTAACTGCCTAGACTGAATAAACGATATTGATTTTGATTTTTGATTCTAAAATTCTATAGATAACGGGTTGCATACAAAATCAAATCTAAAAACTGTCCGCGCACCTATGTTTAAACTTATGCAGCTACATTCGATTCCCATTGAACAAAGATAAATGTTTTAAAACAGTTTAAGTTTAACCTAATAACAACTATCTCACAAAGGAATAAAGTTGCAAATAACAAAATGTTATTTCGCACACACGACCTTGCACCTGATAAAACGAAATCTTGTTCCTTTTATAAATTACTAGCTGTGCCGCGCGGTGTTACCCGCGGTTTATTAGGGATATTTTCCCGCATTAAAACGTAGCCTATGTGTTAATCCAGGGTATCACTCCATACCAAATTTTATTAAAATCGCTCCAGCTGTTTAGACGTGAAGGAGTAATAAACTTCAATAAATTTTTTGTATGAAAACTTGTGTGAAAAATTACTTACTCACGTAATAGGCTAGTTTACTCATGTCGAATTATATTAAATAAATGTTTATTTCTTAAAGTATTTAGTCTAAGGAACCTTAATATATCGATTTCACTTCATAAAAGCAGATAATTGCTGTAGAAATTTAATTTTAAAAAATATTTTTAGTCTATATTTTTTAAACACTAAAAACGCTGTTCGCCACATCCGCCATGATTTTGACGTCTCTTGTGGTAAACAACTAAATGTCATTCGCGTGTTACTGTAGGTGGATTCTTTCGTCTGACTTTTATCATAAAACACTTTTAACTTTAGGAAAGAAAAAAACATTGACAAAACTAATTATGGATGCCGGCTTTGTGAAACCAGAAAGCACAAATCTGCCAAGAATTGACGCATTGATGGTTGGTGAATTTGTTGCACTAAACCCCGATTTCTGCTCTGCGGAGCAGAGAAACGACAGGGCATCTATGTAAGTACAGTGCATTTAGTATTACAATGTAGTAATAAACATAAAACTGATACAACATATGAATAAATGTAATAAAGTTGCGTAGGTTAATTTCTTTCGGCACTTAAATCAACAGCTTTCCTGGAGTCTTCAAGGATGTGTTTTTATATTCTCGTACAATACAGTAATGATAATTACTTTAGTTTTCGTGGTATTTATTAGAAATCATGTTTTTTTTTTATTACAAACTCAGTTAAAAGTAATTTTCTACGTGTTTACGAGTTTTTGTTTACCACAGTTCACGTCATAGCATAGATAATCTATAGACTAAAATGGCCGACAGCGTTTTTGTATGTCCATGAAAAGTCTATTTTAAAATTAAAGATTTGTAGCTTTCTAGGTTTAAAAAAAATACAATACATTTTTTTTCGGTCTAATAGAACATTTATTAACCATTTAAAACCTTTTTCCAAAAAGGGTCAACTAGCCTATTAGTATACTTTGACTTCGTGTGACTTGTGTTTTGCAAGAATTTTGGCCACTATTCCTACACGAACAAAGAAATATGATGACTCATTTCTTTGTCGTACTATTCGTAAGTGGAATTCTTTGCCTGCGCACGTGTTCCCTCCTTCCTACAATCTGGGGTCCTTTAAGACAGCCGTGAAGCATTTTTGCGGGCCGGCGAGGTAAGGATTGTTGGTGTGGCAGTTTATAACTGTTTCACCAGCTATCGTCGCGTTTGGACTTTATCACCATTTAACATCAGGTGGGGTAAAAGCATTTGCCTACAATGGCTATAAAAAAACCGGCCAAGTGCGAGTCGGAATCGCGCGCCAAGGGACCCACCCTCCCTCCCTCCGTACAAACCTGTAGGTATATTTAAACAATTATTAATAAATATTTTTTATTAATAATTGTTTTTATTATATGATGTAACTAAAAATTTACGGTTTTCGCAATGTTTCCTTTATCTGTACTATAAGACGTTACTTCGTACCAAATTTCAAGATTCTAAGTTCACAGGAAGTAGGTTTTGATTCCCGTGCGAGCTTCGAAAATTTGCGGCATAAACGGCTGTATCTTTTGATTGCTTTGGCTTAGAAGTTTGATTTTTTCGCAGCTCCAAGAGACAGTAGACCTGAGCATTCGATATGAATTTCAGTTCGATACCTCCACGCGTTCCTGAAAAAAACGGTCTTGACAGACGGACGCACGGACTACAAAGTGATCCTATAAGTTCCGTTTTTTCCTTTTGAGCTACGGAACCTTAAAAAGATATTTCCTATTCCATTTTCGTAGGTAGGTAATAATTGAACATTTGATCAATTATTATCTCTTGGATGTCGTGAATGAATGCCACTTTATTATCTACAGACGCTAATTTTACACACTTACAAAAAAAACTCATTTCCCTTAGCTGTGATATGACGGTCCTCAAATAAACATTTTCCTTCAACGCCGGCAACGAATGAGTGGTACCCTTGGTGCCGCAAGTGGGCGGGCCATAGGCGGCAGTGACCACTTACCATCAGTTGGTAAGACAACTCGTTTTCCTGCATACACTTAAAAATAAACTGGTGCCTACTTATTCAAATTTCGTATATTTTTTTGATGTGTAACATCTTTCCTCTCGCTTTCCTGCAATTTGTGGGAGTGATTTCGTGAAATGGGACGGAAGTGTGTAACAGGAAGTAGCGAAAGCGCGCGCTATTTGATTTGATTTTAGAACATAATGTTCAAATGGCTTATTCCTTTTGTAGTAGGTTTTATTTATTTTTTTACTAATATAAGATGAGGTTTTAAATGTTACTCATCATAAGCGTCTACTGCAAGGCTCGCTCGTTTTTTTTAACTAAACTACCTACATAGCTACAAATGTAATCGGTGACTGTTATCGCTGCGGTTAATCTTCAAG